GGTCTTGCGTAAGATCTTGGGTACAAAAATGTCCTGAGATCTTGTACCCATTTTTTCAAGATCTAGTGCCAAATCTTAACGTAAGATCTTGGGCAAGATCTTGGTTTCAAGATGTTGGACTAGGGATTTTAATCTTTTTGGAATACTAAATAATTTTCTCACATTTTTCTTGACATATTTTTTGTTTGACATCAAACAAAAAGTGAATACTGAAATTTTTTAAATAAAACTGTAAAAACTGTCGAAAGGTTTAGTCTAAGCAATTGGCAGATTAGAGAACAAATTCGAAACGGTAAACTTTATCGTGACACGACACTTCTGCGCGCGACAGTTTCGTGCAAAAGTGATTTTGAAAGTAAAAGTGTGAATAAGCTCGAAAATGAGTGTGAGAGTGAGAATGAGGGTTTTGTGAGCAAGTATTGCGTACGAGCATGTATTGCGCGAAAGTGTCGGTGAACCGTTAGTCATGGATATCATCGATTTACTGAGATGCGTCCAAAATTTTGGACTATCCTTTAGTATTTTGTTTGCCATAAAAGAAAGCAACGTTTCTTCAAATAACTTGATGTCAAAAACTTTCTTTTGATATACTTCTGTATTTCAATGTCAGCTTTTTTTTGCTTTATCAAGAAGTCAGATATACAGAATCGATTCGAGCGGATGATGCTCATCATTAACAAGTTTCTTTTGACGAGCTATCTACAGAATACGAAAGAGAAGAGGACATTATTTTCGGAATGGTGATCTGCATGAATTTGTTCGATTGGTATATGGACCAACTTTTAACTACTCACCGAAGTGCTGCTCCACTAAAATTGGTAGTGGCCATTGTCAAACTATCGATTAAACTCGGTGGCATATGCCACCACTTTACTCCACTCAAAATACTCTTTCGAGCATGAGATGAAGGTCTTCCAACGAAGAATTTACCAGACATACGTCGCAGAAATGCATCGTCCATCATATGTAAACGATTGGTGGCGCAGAATATCATTAAATTTGGTACATCTTTAATGCCATCAATTACTGATAATAGAACACTAAGCTTGGCCACATTTCCATCGCTCGTATCATCTTTACGTTTGGGTGCAAGTGAATCAATTTCATCGATCGATACACAACACATAAGATATGGTATTCGATGGCAACGCATACAAATATCGGAAATAATACGTTCTGACTCACCGACCAACGGTCGATTGAGCTCACCAGCAGCTAGTGGAGGTGCAACCATGTTAATGCCCATCCGTATTGATAATTTGCTCATGATATCCGATTTACCAGTGCCTTAAAAAAAAACCGAATTCATCCATTGTCCCTTTACACAGTCGTATTCTCTTATTATATATGTTTCCTTTCTTTTTCTTCGACATACTTTTCTCAAGTTGCAGTGAAATGCACATTTATACAATTTGCTCATTTTTCCAGAAAATTATAGAGAAATTGTTCTTTGGTGTCAAATTCTACAGAATGACTCCCGCCAATTTGTTAGTTTTGGATTGAAAATTCATTGTAGTCATATGCTTAAGCCTCAGATGTGAGCCGCTCAGCTGAGCCGCCGCCGGTGAAGTGCGGAAATAGATCATATCACCGGACTTCGAAAATTTCAAATGCGATTAGAGTCCGGGGGGGTCCCCCGGCCGCGGATCGCCTTTGCAAAATTCGGNCGTGGACCCATAGACAATCGACCACGCTGATTCCGAATATCGCCTTCCCCCGGACTCTAATCGCATTTGAAAATTTCGAAGTCCGGTGATATGCATTTAAATTTCAAGCTTTTTCATTCTCAAGCTAAGTTTTCATAGAAGACTTAATCGAATTTCTTATTTGTTGTTTTCTCAGCTATTTTTTTTCTTTATTTTTCTCTTTGCAGCGGCGGCTATGGGTCTTTCGATTGGCTTATATCTCTAGCATAAGCAATTGAAGTACGATTTTGAATGGAGATTTTCTCCGTAGAAACTTACCTGGGGGCCCATACATGATGAAACCTCGATTCGGCTTGATCAGATCTCGATCCGATTTTGTATCACTATTGAGTTTTGCGTTTCGAAAACTTTCATCGAGACTATCTGTAAGATCTTGAATCGCTTCGATTTGATTTCGTAGTCTTTCTCTTATGGGTTCGAGTTCTTCCATAGCTTGTCGATGTTGTTCGATCAATTCTATTGCAGAAAATGTCTCATAGTCGTTCTGTCTTGCCTTGGATTTTGCGAGCGGTGGAGCCTCGATGGGATGACCTGTCTGCTCACCCGTATTACTGGAACTAGTCGATGCGCTTCCTACAACCATTTTTCTGATTCGTTGAAACATTCCCCCACCATTGCCTCTTGCTTGATCTGATTTTTGCATCGTAGACTGATGAGTACGTCTTAAATTTCGAATTGCATCATCGTGTCTATAGTATTCGTCTTCTTTTTCATTCAATTCAATAGCTAAATCTTGCTTCCTTATCACTAATTCGTTTCTTTCTGTTAGTAGACGCGTTGATATTGTCTTCCAACGAGTCTCATTAACGACCAAATCTTCTTCAACCATAGTTAATGGTAGAAAAAACAATTTCATTTGATCGAAAAGACCATCATCAGCAAAACCTTCACGACGCATCTCATCGAATGATAATCCAACGCATTCCGCATTTAACTTAGCCGGAGATTGAACTCCAACTTCCGAAAATTGTCTGGACAAAATGTAATGAAAGTACAATTTGATATGATGAATGTACGCCAATAATTGAGATACGGATTCTGTGTACGAAAACAGAAAGAAAATAAATCTATATAAGAAAAGATAAATCGAATACTATTTTTTCAATCAAAATTGCCCCTTATCATACAAAAAAGAAAGATTAGAAAATTTCATGTAATTGACAGCCTCTACTCACGAATGTCGTCGCTTGAATCGGACTTTTTTTTCTTGTCACCTCCTTTAACATCAGTAGCCATTTGTTTCTCCCGATCGACATACGATTTTAGAATTTTTCTTCCATTCAGTGGTAGCTGTTTCAATTGATCCCATTCAGTATATTTCAAATTGGCAAGATGATCGTAACTGAAAATATGATCGGCCCTCAACGCTTTAATCCAATCTTCAGCCATACCATTATTTTCTTTTTCGCAAACATCTTCAACAAACAGTTCTAATGATATAGTACTCGGTCGATCAATATTTTTTGCTCTTTGTACAACCTTTTGATCGGTACTTGTACTATCATCTGGCAATTCAAATAAATAGAACAATTTTGTGTTTGGAGCCAATTTCCACTTATGTGGAAAAATTTGTTGCTCGGGCACTAGATTTAATTCAAAGAGACCGCGCAGGTGATCGAAATACCATGTATCAAACTCATCAACTAATACGATCGGGTCGACCAATGGTAGTTTTGTTAATGCACGCCCAGCATCGATCGTACCACCTCGCATATCCAATTGAATGCGAATAAATGCGTCCAACGTCGAGCCAGAAGGTACTGGTCCGCCTATAAGATCAACCGATGATACTGAAATTGTTTTCGAAGCCAATCTAAAATGAATAATACTGAGAAATTTGAATCAATAATTGTTTTTTTCGGCATCACTACCCCGTGTTTCGTATTCTTTTGAAGTGATTGAAGTCCGAAAAAAACAAAATTTGATTTCATGCGTGGAATATTCACGTTTTTTGACTCTTCGAAAAAGCGGAAAACTTGAATCGATTTGGGATGTGAATGTTTTCAACCTTTGACAGCAGTTTACATACAAATTCTGAATGATTTCACCTTTGTTTTTTTGAAATACAAAACAATATAAAACAAAGTGTTCGAAGTAAGAAATATTTTCAATTGGATGTAATTGCTCAGGCTTTTTGAAGAGCTCAGAAAAGTCCATGTAATTTATCTTTCTAATCTTGAAGCAATGCAAAAAAAAGCGAAACTGAAACGAAAAAACATCGAGAAATTGGTTACTTTTAGCATTTTTGTTTTCATTTCTTTTGTTTCGTTTCATGCAAGCTTCACCGACAGTTAGTCGGACTATTTTTTCAATCGAAGATCAACTTTTCACTATTCAAACTGTGTTAAGCTAT